GTGATACTTTGTATAAACCACTAAAAATTTTATTAACCACTAAACAAAGAAGCACAGGTTGTAAGCGCACCCCCCCCTCCCCATTTGGCCTTTCTTTGAAATGGACAAGTTTCTGCTTGGGCAGGGAGGAGGGTGACACAGAAAACCTGAAGGTATCACTTATTTTTTGCATTTATATTTTATTTTGTTTGGACTACACGGCTACCCTTTATTTTAATAGCAAAAAACAGAGTTAACGCTTACCGAGACTTACTGTTCTTCACTGAACCAAATATCTTGGTACACCTTTCCTTTTTGCTTACCCTCCCCAAACAATACTGGAAAAGCCACAGAACCCCAGCACGCCACCAACATCTGTCATCATCTTGTGCAGTTAAGCATTTATAGAGGCTGTTGAGTCCGAGGGCTTCAGGGGCTTTGGAGCCGGGCGCCATCGGTGTGCTGATGATAGCAACTATACATTCTGTCCCCCAAAACAGGATGAGGTTGTTCATCTGGACACTAACACGGGTTAGTGTCTGGACACTAACACGGGTTGGATGAGCAGTAGTAAGTTGAAAATTAATCCGAACAAGACAGGATTCCATGGATCAGTTGAATCCTGTTATAGATGAAACTGTACCTGATTTTAAGAAGGAGGTGTGTAGCTTTCAGATACTCCTGGATCCAGCTATACAGTATCTTTGGGGACCTAGCAGATGGACTCAATGGCTTAGAATTCCTGGAGCTATCTTTGGCTGGCTTGCCAGCCACCATCATTCCTGGTCACGAACAATTGCGATATAGCAATTTATGTGCAGATAAATTCTCATTTAGATTACTATAGTGTGCTGTACATGGAGCAGCCCTTGAGGTTCCACAACCAGGGTATCATGACCGAGACATAGGAAGAATCTGGTCTTTCCTACTCCCACTGTGAAAAGGGGCAATTTCTAAAGAGAAATAAAATGAGATTGCTCTCTGGATGTCCCAGGAGAAAGACCACAGGTTCACTGAGAGAACAAGAGTTAGTCCACATCTAGCACAGGTTATTCCAACCTGGAGAACTCCAGATATTCCGGATGTGACCTCCTAACGGTCTCAGCCGGCCTGGCCAAATATTGGGGGGTGGGGAGTCAACTTTCATAGATCAAGAAGATACTGAACCTCTTCTAAATGAATGAGCCAAAGCGTTCCCTTGTTCACTTCTGTCCTATTGTAGCCTCTGCTCTGAAAGTTAAAATTATGAAAGTGGAGAAGTAAAAGAAGCTTCTCTAGCTGAACAACCCAGGATGTCCTTCAAGTATTCTCAAAGAAGGAGGAAGGGATGATGGTCTGCTTTTCAACAGGAACAAAATGCAATTCTTTTCTTTTCTGTTCTACCTCAATACACACAGATACATCCTGAGAGCTGTACCTTAATGATGCATTTGCCGCTATATTTGTCAATCTTATTTAAATGAAAATTATACTTATTTTCATGGACTTACCAGCAATGCTTCATGCTAGGCTATACATAAAACATTTCTCATTGTGGAAGTTTAGCTTAGGGGAAAAAGCAAAACACATCCCATTATTCTTCCTCAGCTGTCTTGATTCTAACAAATTGGAACCTTTCCTAAGGAGAAAATGTAATACTAGGGGGAAAAAAGCAAGAACTCCCTTACTGGTCAGATCTAGGCCATGGTCCTTTTCCCAATGATGATGCTTCCCCAGCCCAACACTTTATAATCAGAAAGAGCTTGGAACAGTTAAGTTTTTTTTGGACTATGCCAGTATGTCTATTGGCTGTTTGAGTTAACACAGATTTTGGTCCTCTTTCTGGCCTGGCCTAATAAAGATGTTACCACAAAATGGATTTCAGGATCCAAACTGAATCTGGAGGTCATGTACAGCCTAGTCTGTTCAGATGGTTTTATATTTATTTTTCTTTTCTTGTTTCACTGATATTTATTTGTTTGTTTGTTTGTTTGTTTGTTTAACTTATATGCCACCCAAACTACCCGAAGGTCTCTGGGCGGCTTACAGCATTTAAAATACAATAAAGAGGCAAAATAAAAGGGCAAAATAATTAAAATGCAATTAAAATATAAAAATATATATTCTAAAAGTTGCCATCAGACCCACATTTGATGTTATTTCAGTTAAAAGCCATTTTAAAAACCTTCTGAGTGATCTTAGTGATTACTGCCTCCATCCATCCACCCATCCACCCACCCATCCATCCATCCATCCATCCACCCATCCATCCATTCATTCATTGGTGGTGTATAACAGAGGACAATACAGACATAAAACAAAACTATAATGCAACAAACATAATAGTTTACATTTGTAATTAAAATTAAATTAAAACCAGGCAACGTAAAGATATGTTATAAATCTATTATCTCAGTGGGCTGTTGAGAGGGTGTAATTTTGGAAGGTCTACTCAAATAGGAGAGCTTTCAGGGATTTATTAAAAGTTTCCAGAGAAGAGGCCAGGTCAATTTCCGGTGGCAGTCTGTTCCATAGTAGGGAAGCAACCAGCAAAAGGGCCACTTTTCTCGTTTTCTCCTTCCAGACTTCTCTTGCGGTTGGCATCCTCAGCTACCCAGCCTGGGGTAAGAGGGTAGGGATGGGCAATCCCTCTTGGGAGGAGGTGGTCTGCCAGGTGCTAAGGTCTGAAACCATCTCCATCACCAGTCTTTGTCTATTTGAGAGCTCTGCTACCTGAAAGAGGTGGCTTTCATGCAAGAACTGAACATACAGCAGGGCACAGGCCAGTCACCTCCACCAAAGTGAATGAGCAAAAGGTTTGAACTAAAAACAAGCAAAACCCCTCACTACTTCAGCATAGTAGTATTAACATCCATCCACCATGGTCCGTTTTGATGTCCCTCCATAAGTAGGTGAAGACCTTTCCCTTCGGGCAAGCTGTCCCTTAAGGACCAGTTGCCTGAGCGAGCTTTATAAAAGGATGGTTGTGCTTTACTGCTTTTGAATGGGGTTTAAAGTATTTGTATACTTACTGTTTTTTAGCTTTAAACATTGTCTTTTTTTTTAAATGATGTAAGCTCCCTTGGGTCCTTCTTAAGGAGAAAGGCGGGGTAAAAACATTCTAAATAAATAAATAAACCAGGCCAAGGCATGTTCTTTGAGCGCAGACTCAAAGAGGGATCATGGCTCTGTGACTACAGTGGGGTCTTGACTTAAGAACGGCTTGAGTTAAGAACATTTTGACTTAAGAACCGCTCTCATAGGAAAATATTGTCTTGACTTACATACTTAGATTTGAGTTAAGAACTGAAAAAAACCCACGTGGGAGGCAGGGAAAGTGCAAAAATTGAACTTTCAGTTAACTGTTGGCCAGTGAAAAGGGTGCCTGTCTGCTTCCTCACTCCTCCCAGCGTTTAGAGAGTAGATTGGGAGACAGTCTTCAGACTGCCTGGTACTGGACTGCCTGGACTGTATTTTCCCTGCCTTCCCTGAACCTTTCTTGACCTAAGAAAGAAAGAAACAAAATGTCCCCCTCTAGTGGTCGAAGGCAGAATAGCAGCTTCCCATTAGTTTCTATGGACGGAAAAGAGCAGATACGGATCAAATGGTTTTCAATGCATTCCTATGGGAAAGGCAGATTTGACCTGAGAACTTTTTGACTTGAGAACCGCCTTCCAATACGGATTAAGTTCTCAAGTCAAGACGGCTCTGTGACTACATGATGTGGATGCAGACGGTTCTCATTCCAACCCACCAACATCTCTCATTTCAAAGGTCTTAAAGGCAGAATAGCAGCTTCCCATTAGTTTCTATGGACGGAAAAGAGCAGATACGGATCAAATGGTTTTCAATGCATTCCTATGGGAAATGCAGATTTGACCTGAGAATTTTTGACTTGAGAACCGCCTTCCAATATGGATTAAGTTCTCAAGTCAAGACCCCACTGTACATGATGTGGATGCAGATGGTTCTCATTCCAATCCACCAACATCTCTCATTTCAAAGGTCTTAGAACGTGATCAGAACAGCCACTTAACTGATTCGGTCAGGCCAGTGGCCAAGCTAAGGCTAAGGCAGTTTCGTGGTTTCTTCTACGGGCATCAGTGTGCCTAACTAAACATCTCCTTCATGTTGAAGAGCTTCCTGCAACATTTGCATTTGAAGACACATTGACAAAACCTCATACAGTATTTGAGATGCCTTCCTATGGGGAAAGCTAAAGCAGTCAGTTGCCATTTAAGGCACTGAGCAACTATTAGGACCCGCCATCTCAGCCGCCAAGAGGCTTTCTGCAAAAACGGGCTTCCAGACAACAAACAAGCACTGGTCTGTGCCTTCTATTAACAGCATTTATCAGAGGATGGCAGGAAAATGGGAGCTTTAAAGTTTCTAAAATGAAAGCCATGAAATATGATGAATGGCGTTTTCCTGCAAGGATTAGCAGAAGCAGAAGGAAAGACCAGAGCAAAGGTCAAAGTTACTATGGTCCTGCAATTACTGGTTCTTCATTTAACCCTTCAGAGGAATAATAAAGGGAATGGACTAGGGTTTCGCTATTGTGGGCAAAGTTGAATAGATGATGTAGATTCCTTTCAAGCCATATACAAAAGAGATCGATTCTCCCAAAACTGATGAAATCTACCAGTCTCTGCAGCTTAATGTCTATCTTTTAAATGGCTCTTGCTCAAGTCCCCTATATTTTAATGAGGCTTGTCCAGGAGACCTGTGCCCCTGCCCCCCACCCCGAATATTCTTCCCTGTAGCTTTCAATTCAGTATCATGTACATGCTGAGAGTGTGAATGCCTTGAATTTCAACACTAAGCCCAATGCAAGGTTCTGCTGGTTTTGAAGCCTTTGTCAACAAGCTCTTCCTTACAGCGCTAATGCCTCCACTGCATTTTTCCTTCTGTTTTCAACTTCACGGCGCAGACTGATGGGTGAAAGAAAAATCCTGCTTTTCTACAAACAGAAAATGAAACCAGAGCCATAGTCTCCAGAAGAAGAATACCAAAGGAGGAGAGGAAGGAAAAGGGAGCCTTACTTGAATCTGGCGTTCACCTCGTCGATGGCTTTTTGGTATTGCTCGGTGGTGACTTTGTAGAACTGAGAGCTCTGGGGAAATGGAGAAAGAAAAACATACACGATTGAACGAGCGCATTCCAAATGGTAGAAACGTTTTCACGATCGCTCCAAGAGAAACATTTGTAGACACAATTACTTGGCATTTCAAGGACAATTTCCAGTGGAAGCTCCTGAGATTTGCAGATACGTTTATTCTAATTACTTTTAAACCTCCTGATCATAGAAGTAGATAATTAATCCCCCCCCCCATTGTCTCTGCATTTCACCCCTTTAGCTAAACTCTTCTTAGGTCAATGAGACATCAGCCTTTTCCTACCTTTTCCTCTTGCCCTCCTGCTGACTTTGCTTCTAGCCTAGCCTCACCGTGTCCCTCTGTTTTCTGTATTTTTCTCCCTCCACTTCCTGGCTCCCCACCACTTTTAACATCCATGGCATTCAAGGCCCCATCATCCCTGTCTCCACTACAAACTCCATGCCATGCCCTTGATTGTGCACTGGGTTTTGTGACATCGCAACACCTCAGCCAATGGCAGGACCAAATGCTCACAGGAGCTTGTGGTGATTTGACTATTGCTCATTGTTCAAGCTGGCATTTTAATAAACTGACCAAGCTAACAATGGCCAACATCCTGTTGCTTAGTGTAGCGAACTGCACTTGAGTAGGCCCACTAAATCAGTGGAAATCTGTTGAGTCAACTCCTCTGCAAGTTCCACTGATTCAGTGTGTTTATTCTAGTTGTGACGTAGCCAGTGAGACAGTACAGCATTAAACTTAGGCTGGAGAGCCCTTTAGATTGAACAAGGAAGCTGTATACAGATTGATGATGGCTTCATCCCCATGGTTGATGCTTAGGAACTCAACGCCATTCAAGCACCTTGATCAGATCCGCCATGTAAGCTAGCCTCCACAGACAAAGCAGTCAGCTCTGCTTGCATTTGTGAATCAGAGTCATCCACGCGGGTGAAAACCTCTTTGCATTGTGTCATAAGTCGATATGATATACCTTTATTGGCATTATACAAATACACAGGGGGAAGAGACACAATCAACACCAATGAGGAAGCACAAAATCATGAAAGAAAATATATTACCCGGAGAATGGGGCAAAGAGGAGTTCAACATTATATGGCACCAGCTAGGTTCAAAAATTGCAGTTAAATAAGTCTGTTCACGAAACGTATGCTGAATTGTCATACAAGAGCAGTGCATGGATTTAACTTAGGTATTTGCCATATGAAAGCCCCTTTCCAGTCAAGAAGGAAAAAACAAGAGAAACCACTGTTTTCCTCCTGAGCAACGATTTATTACAGTTTGAGGATTGTCATCATCAGGTTTGAGCCCCTTCTGAACCAGTCAAGCCTAGGCAGGAAGGGTCAGGAATCTTAAGGACCCCATGGGGATGATAGAAATACAGATAGCTCCCGATGGGCCCTTGCGGCTGGTGCCCTGCCTCTTATTACTGCTATAAAGATCTCAGGAGATTGCTGAAGCCCCTTGCAGGTCAGTATTACTCCTGTCCCTGCATTTGTGGACTAAAAAGAGACCTTTCTTGATTTAGTATACATTCGCTTCTAGTACCCTAGGAAGTAGCGATGCTGTTGCGGGATTTCTTTTCTAAGGACAACAGGAGGGCCATGTCCTTTGTCCCGGACAACATTAACAGAAAGCACAGGAGATTCACAATAAGGCAGAGTTGCCCATGCATAGTCCCTCTACGAGCCTGCCGCTATGTGTTTCAGATTGCGGGTTCAGGGCAATGGTGTACACCACACACTGAGACACACACAGTGCTATCTGCCAGACAGGGTGCAATTACTCTTTTACCACCACAACCCTCCCTATATTTCAAGGGCAAACAATACCGAAGCCTGAAGCAGAAACAGTGTTTCCCAGACTTTGGAAATGTCACCGTGTCCCCACGGGCAAGACGCATTCTGAGACACAATGGCCAATAAAAGCTGTGACATTTTTATGATTAAATAATGTCTTCGGTAATTTTTTTAAAAACTGTAAAAAACAGTTTTTATGAATCTGTTAGCTCTTAGTATTGGAACTAAGGAACCTAGCTATGGATGGATTCCAAAACATACCTATATACAGATTCAGAGGATGGTCTACTCTTAGTTCTTGGAAAGAACTTTTCCAGCCCTTCTCACTGTCTAGGCCTCTGAAAAATGACACACTTTTCATATAAGAGGAACCAAATTAAGGTAGGTGAAGGCATAACCACCCATTCTGCTTTTACCTTGTGTCTGGACAATTCGGCTGCTGAGTCTCATTGCCAATATAACCTTTGAACTGCAGAGATGGAAGGGACCCGATGGATCATCGAGTATAGCCCCTCTCAAGGAGCCACAGTGGCTCCTTGAGCCAAATTATAATAAATTGGTTGGGTTTCAAACCCCCAACCGCTTTAATTGCAGTCACAACCCGTTTCAGTTGCCCCAAGCCAAAATAATCACAATCTTTTACACTTCTATATAGCACTTTTCATCACTGCTCAAAAGACTTTACATGTGGTCAGCCAACCCTTCCAACAACCCTGTAAATGAAACCAGGATTATTATTCCTGCGTTACAGAGCGAGAGCAAAGAGGGAGGGAAAAACCCAACACAACATCTTCACAACCACCCACGTAATTTAATGGCTGAATAAAAATCTTGAGTTGTGACTCGTGATGGAACATTCTATGCTTGAATGTGTAGGTTGTTGTGGGGGTGAACAAAGAAACCCAAATGGGGTTATGCTTTCACGTAAGATCAAGTAATGCCAGATGTTTCTGCAAGGGGTAAGGATGGGATCTGAAGCTGAGGCTCCAATGCTCTGGCCATCTCATGAGAAGAGAAGACTCCTTGGAAAAGACCTTGATGTTAGGAAAGTGTGAGGGCAAGAGGAGAAGGGGACGACAGAAGATGAGATGGATGGACAGGGTCACCGAAACGACCAACATGACTTTGACCCAACTCCGGGAGGCAGTGGAAGACGGGATGGCCTGGCGTGCTCTGGTCCATGGGGTCACGAAGAGTTGGACACGACGTAACGACTAAACAACAAGGATGGAATGATTTACAATGCAAGATATGATTCTTAGAGGCATCCTTATGGCCTGTGCAATGGGGCAATCTTTTGAGCCCAATTTCTCTCTCAGTCTCTTGGGGTAACTTTGAGTTGAGAATGTCCTTGTCTTGTAGGGCAGGAGGTAGAAATGTCTCCTTCTTATGGCCACAAAAGCATTAGATCAAAAAACTCCGTATACGTGGCCAAAATGCAACGAGGAGACAGCCAACATTTTAAAAAATTTCTTCACTCTGGGCTCAGTGGTGAACAGACTGCATTTCACTGATGATTGAAAAGAGAAACTCCTTGTGGAAAGGTAAAAGGACAGATATTTAATCATTGAAGCCTGTGTTTTAAGCTTGCCCAGGTCATTCAGAATTCACCAGGGATCTATAAAAATCATTCGGAAAAACATTAAGCTGAGAAGAAGGGTAAAATTGTGTTTTGTGCCTTACCCCCTTTGCACAAATTGTAATAAATTGGGTAACAGATACCACAGTCAAAAGGGCACATGGAGATTAGAAAGGACCTGGTGGTCTCTCAACTCTGCTTTCTCCTGCAGTCCGGGACTAATCATTCATTTTGTCTGCAGACTGAAGTTCTGAGCATGTGACTTTAGGGGGTAGTTTATTTTTTAATAAATCATTGCTGGCCTGTAAGAAAATGAAAATGAAATCCTCTTCACACCGCTGACCCCTTTTGCATTTAGCAATCCCGTTCGTCCAATGACAGTCACATCCAGGTTCCGCACATACAAATAAAATCAATAGGGATGTGATTAGACAAGCAGACGGACGACAATGTGCACATGGACAGGTCACCGTTTGAGATGATGAATAGTTCTCTATCAACCAGCAGTCCCCTCTGATGCTAACATTTACTATAATCTTATTTGGGCAGCGATTTATCTTTCTTGTGGCTGGTCAATAAAGATGAACACAACAGTTGTAAGGATCGATTGCAATTTTTTTTCATTTTAAAGCATGAAGGTACGTTTGTGACACAAAAGCAATATTCTTAGTGAACTTGTTCAGTTATTCTTTCTTTCTTCCTTCCTTCCTTTCTTCCTTTCAAACTAGCATTTGAGTGATCAGCTGAGTGGCTACACATGTTGAGAGGCTTTAACTGTGGACTATTAAGCAGTTCTACTATTATGGGCAAGAATCCCATAGATTAATGGAGTAGCCCTCATAGTCAACTATGACTTTGACAACTGGGAAAAGCTGTACTGAGATACAATCTCAAAAATGATAGAATTATTTCAATACGAATCCAAGGCAGACCTTTCAACATCACAGTAATCCAAGTTTATGCAAAAACCACCCATGCCGAAGAGGCTGAAATTGACCAATTCTGTGAAGACTTCCAACACCTTCTAGAACTGACACCAAAGAAAGAGGTTCTTCCCATTCTAGGGGACTGGAATGCTAAAGTAGGGAGTCAAGAGATAAAAGGAACAACAGGGAAGTTTGACCTTGGAGTTCAGAACGAAGCAGGACAAAGGCTAATAGAGTTTTGTCAAGAGAACAAGCTGGTCATCACAAATACTCTTTTCCAACAACACAAGAGGCGACTCTACACATAGAAATCACCAGATGGACAATACCGAAATCAGATTGATTATATTCTCTGCAGCCAAAGATGGAGACGCTCAATACAGTCAGCAAAAACAAGGCCTGGAGCTGATTGTGGCTCTGATCATCAGCTTCTCATAGAAAATTCAAGCTTAAACTGAAGAGAGTAGGAAAAACCACTGGGCTCCTCAGGTATAATCTAAACCAAATCCCTTATGAATACACAGTGGAAGTAAAGAACAGATGTAAGGAACTCGATTTGGTGGACAGAGTGCCTGAAGAACTTTGGATAGAGGTTCGTAACATTGTACAGGAGGCAGCAACAAAAAAACAAAAACCCAAAGAAAAGTAAATGCAAGAAAGCAAAGTGGCTGTCCAACGAGGCCTTACAAACAGCA